AGCTGCAATATCATGAGATTGGGGCCTGTTGTATTGTGCATCCAAAAATAGAAGAAAAATGCTGATCCCAAATAAGCCGTTACACCGGGAGTATTACTATGAAATATTAAACCATCAAGGGACTGAAACAGGGGTTGGGAACAGATCACTGAAAACATCACCATCTTTTTGTATGTGACCTGGCCCTGTAAGCAAAGCAGCACAAAGTGAATGCTTATTTATGGGTATCTAACACCAATGTACTCTGCCTATCACCAGGAAGAGGCTTAAAATCAGATCATGGGAACTATAAAGTAAAAAAAAAATAAAAAAGTGAAAACCTGATCAACTAAAAACACAAATATTGGCAACGTAACAAGAAAAACTGAAGGAAATGCAACATCTGTTGTTAATTAACTACATACATATTCAATAATGATTCAGCTGGTCCTGTTTGCGCTTTCCAGAGAATTTAAGTTTCACAAACCAGTGACTTCACACGCGGAGCTTATTTGTCATTCCAGAACGAACAGAGTGGGCTCAAGGAGGCTGGCTAGTAAAACAAATCAAAACGAGGCATGATTGGCTGTATCCTTATCCTTTGGTCGATTACTTCATCCGAGGGTGGCTTGTTGAGTCATGCAGAAAGCTGCTTTGCTGCCGCTCCCTCTTTGGATTAAAAGAATAATTCACTAATGTCTCTGAATGGTGAGGAGCTGGGATTAGGGATTACAGGACTAGAGAATGGAAGGGATTTGGGGGTGCCCTGCAGGGGGGAGGTGATGATCTTGGGGAGACTCAGACAAGACAATGTCTCGACAGCTGTAAGAAAACTGTAACCTAAATTTGTAACAATGACAGTGACTGATCATCGAGAGCGATCGCTCCAATACTATTTGTTATAATTCAGCAGAACATCTGTGCTTACAATGACACTCACAGCTTGTTAACCTGCTGTAGGAAAGTCAGAATTTGTACAGTCAGCGACAACCTCCAGACAGTCAGTCAGATACAATCTTCTAGATAAAGATGGACATTTCCCTCCAACACAGATGGGCTTACCGGGAAACCTCCAGATCTATTCCAGCATATAAAAACCTTTGCAGCCATTATTGGATGCTATAAAATTACTGTTCCACTGACTGAAAAACAACTGATTTACCCTCTATGCAAACAGACACTATCCATGTCATGCAACAGCAACTAATTACCTACTGGACATCCATGAGATCATTCAGCCCTGACGAAACGCAGCAAAACACACTGTGCTTGTTATGTTTTCTCGCACCAATGACAGCTTTCTCTTTTTTTATACCAGGGTTTATATACACGTCATATATACATTTTTGACACACCGCCAAATGAGTGTTGCACTCAATTCAAGTTCAAGTTCAAGTTCAAAGTTTTATTCGCCACATGCAGTGGCAGGTTGCCCTGCAGTGGAATCAATTTCGGTGTAACATGCCATTTATACCGTAAATCATAATGAAACATTGCGCTTCATTTTCAGAATGAGTATGAGCCAGTTCTTTCCAGTAAACCAATCACAGAGAACCTCCCAACTGACCTCAAACATAGAAGTAATGTTCTCGACATGAATCTTACCGACTGACACGTTCAGCCCTCAGTTGGTAAATAGTGGAATTTTTTCCACTAACGTCTCCGCTACTATATCTCCTGCTAGTTTTGCTATAAGCCACTAATTGATCATGAAAGTGTTTTAATAGAAATTTACATTGGAAAACTTTCTTTTAGGCAGGTAGTAGTTTTATTCGGAGGAAAAAAGATAAATGAATAATGATAAATAAATAAAATGGCTCTTTAGTCTCTTTTGGCAGAGACACAAGTCATATCAGGCTGTGACTCAGACTAAATTTGTTACGGCGATGGTTTGATTTAGTACTCTAGTTTATTACATTTTCCTAGATCCAACTTTATGCTCAAATGCAATAGTAATGGTTCCAGTCAAAAATACTTTTCCATGTTAAGA